TCAGATATAGAGGAGGTTAGCCCCTACAAAGTTGATGACCCGCATTTAGAACACACACCATTTCCCTACAAAGTCTGCTGCATACTATCCAATCATATCATACAGACCTTCACATTGAAATTACTATTAAAATTATTAACAATTCATTGACAGATATAACAAATTCACCTACAACATTATTCCTTTGAAATTATTGCTGTACAGTTGCATGTTTCAACCCAAAGTGACAGTTCTTTTTTTCGGTGAGCCTCATATATATTTCTTGTTGTTGTTTGTTATTTCCTCATATCGTGTATTATATATATTTGTTTGAGACTTTTCAACCTATCTATGGAATATGGGACCTATCCATCTGTATGGAAATAATCTTTTATCACTTTTAGATTCAAAACACGATCACGTAGTGATATTGTTAACTACAGGCCAATTAACTTGACATCCGTGCTCTTGAGAACCACGGAAAAAATCATCCACAAACAGCTATTATCATTTTTACTTTCGGCTAGTTTGATTAGCGCATCCCAACACGGGTTTATGAATAAACGCTCGTGTTTCACATTGCACCTGGAAATTTTTGATCAAATTACCCAGAGAAGAGATGTTGGTCAGTCAGTGACAATTCCTTACTTCGATTTTAGTAAGGCTTTCGACAGTGTCCGACATAAACTTCTTCTTATAAAACTCTTTTCATTTGGCATACAGAATCCCCTTTTACCTTGGCTCAAATCTTTTTTGTAAGAACGTAGCCAAATCGTTAGCTATTGATCTTGCTACCCTAAACCTGTGAATGTAACCAGTTGGGTTATACAGGGAAGTATGGTTGGCCCATTACTCTTTCTCTTTTTTATCAATGATGTGTGTTCCCTCTTTCACTATGGTAAACCTTTCCTTTTTGCCGAAAGTAGTTTATTCATTCTCTTCTCCCACAAAAGAAAGCTATATTTCAGCGGTAATCGAAGGAGAAATAAACAAGTTATACGAATGGACTATTTCGTGGAATTTGCCACTTAATGTTGAGAAAAGTGGATTTATTCACATTGGCCGCTACCTTAACTCAAATCTGACTGTACACAAACATACACTCAAACCTATCAACACTGTTTGTGACTTGGATTTAAGGTATAGCAACAGTCTGAACTTTTCTAAGCACATTGAATCTCAAGTATCCAAAGTTAGAAAGCTCATCGGATTCATAATGATAAACTTCAAAAATATCGAGTCAAGATTATTATTATTATACGGAAAATGTATCTTACCCATTCTTGAATATGGTATTTTAGTTTAAAGTAATTGCAGGCGTAATGACCTGATTAAAATTGGTGTTCAAAGAGGGTTCACTAAATCTGTTTTGGGGTATTCCGACAATGAGGATCATCACCGAACATGTGAACAACTCAAATTAGAACCTCTCTGGATAAGACGTATCAAATTAAACCTTGTCTTTATCTACCAGCTTGTTAACGGTATTTCCTACTCTTCGGTATCCACTCCTTGATAGCCTATGATATCATCCCACAATCTACGCAATAAGGATAATATTCTAGCGATTACAAGAACCCACTCAAACTTACGCCAGAATTTTTTCCTTATTCGCTACTCAACTATTTGGGACAGACTACCAGTGAACCTCCATTGCATTGAAACTACAAGCCTGTTCAGAAGTCTCCTTGTTGATTTTCTTTCCGAAAATGAATTATGTCACCTATTGAATATCAATGTATTCAGTAGTGATTTATACAAACAACGTCCGTCATCCATTTAATTGCCTGAAAAGCAAAATAAAACCTTTAAATCTTTTCACATCTATCTTATTTTATTTCTATTTATCTTAATATATGAGGTCTGCTTATGTCCGCATTTATAATTATTACCTTTATTATTATCATTATCGGTCTCCCGACACATTAGATATTCTTTTCATCTCTTCTTATCCTTCTAAACATATTTAACTCCAGATTGTCCTTTAAAATCAATTTTGACTTTCATAGCATCAATCTTAATTATTATTGCACAAATATTTATACTAATATCCGGTTTCACTCTGTACACTATTACATGAATCTAAATGTATTCATCCGAGTGCATTAAAGGATTTTTATTTCATATTTTTTAATTGCTGGTTTACTTCTGAGATCGATATTCATTACACAATTATTATTCTTATCATGGATGAACCTTTCCACTAGGTGTTCACTTCTTTTCTTTACGAAGTTTGTAATTAAGACAATACCTTATGTTACACTGAAATTAACTTCTCAGACTCGTTTTATCTTCACTATGTATATATGTCTCATATACATGGATATGTGGTTTTCCTTTGCACTGAATTGAGATTTTCATAGTATCACTCCAAACCATGATTGAACAAACATTTATTCCAACGTCATATCTTACTGCAATAATAAGTTATTTATTCCTAATTATTTTCTACTCTATTTTTGTTACTAATTTGACGAAATATGCATAGTCGTTTATTCTTGTTCTGTGTTCATAAACACGCTTATTAAGCGGTTAATTTATTTCTATTCCCTTATTTTCTTCCTTCCCTTCTTTAAACTTAATTCAATATTCTTCTCAATTACACAGAACCTGATTTATCATTATTATTGCTCTCTTTTTTCAAATATGGCAAGTATAATGCTCACATTCTTGTAACTCGTGTATTATTGCATTTTTGAGTAAACCCGAAATGGATTCTTCACAACACTTATGTACTCATAAGATGTTTGTGAATAATAATTATAATAATAATAACGCTCGGCTTATTCTTATTATTTCTTCGTATCATGTCACTTGATAATTCACTAAGCTTTTCATCTAAGTCTATTTCCGTGGGTGCCATCTCTGTACCTTTATCTGTCTTTAATCCTCGAAAGGCTGAACTCTGGTTTGCATGCTTAGGAGGCTTTTTTGTTACAAACAGAATCACAAGTCAGAGCATGAAATTTATCTACGCAAACTCCTTGCTACCGAACGACGTTAATGAATAAGTGCCTAACGTCATTTTTGAACTGGATCCTGACTCACCATACAATTGCTTAAAAAGAGAGGTCATTCGTGTTACATTTATCACCAACTAGCAGACAATTTATCAACTTTTAGCTAACGTCGAGCTAGGTGACAGCACCCCGTCTCAAATGAAGCGTCACTTGACAAATGTACTGGGGATCGTATAGTAGATAAATGTCTATTATATAAATGATGGCCCAGACGTCTTCCACAAAACATCCAATAGATACTGGCAATTGGAGACGAATATGTCGGTTTTGATAGGCTAGCGGACTAGTACTCACTTGGGATCACACACAAAAACAAACTCAACTGACGAGCTCGCCGAGTTACGACAAACAGTCGACATCTTCACTAAACAAATAGCCCAACTCCAATTTTTGAATACCTCCCACTGCAAGTGTAGAGGAAGGTTCAGAATACATTGACATCGTAGTCCAAGGACCACTCGACATAACATTTGTTAGTACCATAGGATGTATGGTAAACAAGCCAAATAGTGTACTCCTACTGTAAATTTGCAAGCACACAGCAAATGAACATCCAGGCCGACGATTAGTGACGACTGCGGTCGCCGGCCACAAGTCACAGGACAGTCATTTGTTATATGTCACAGACAAAAAGACCGGAACACAGTTCTTAGTCGACACCGCGGCAGAGGTTGACTTTCTGCGATTCCATAAAGTATTAGTAGATGTTAGAAACCGGAAACGTATCCTTGCCGATCAGAGCAGTGACATTAGAAGAATTATATCTAATGAGACGTCCATAGATTTATTAATCAAACTTCATTACGAGAATGAAAAATACATCAATTTACTTAGTTAGTTCCCAGACTTATTACGACCGAGTTTCAAACGTGACAAACCAACACCTAGCGTTGTACATCACATAAGGATAGAAGTACCAGTTTTTGAGCGTCCAAGACACCTTGATCCCTCTCGTCTGGCTCTCACGAAGAATGAATTCAACAACATGATAGAGTTGGGTTTCATACGCTTCTCCGATAGTTCGTGTGCATCACCACCCCATAAGGTACCCCAGAAAAACTTTTCCGATGTAGCGGATACACCATCGTGATTAAATATCAATACCTTCTCAATCCCTCATATAAACTATCAAAATATATCAAAACATCAAAAGCTTGACGCTGTTAACATCGAAAGAGTAAAGCGTTTTTGAGTACACTGGGAAATAGACAACGATAAAGCCATCTAAATCCGCAGTAGAGCAGGCACCACACAAACTACCTGCAACAAACAATATTTCACACTGAAGTTCAGCAGCAATACAAAATACGACAAGATCAGGAACAAGCGTACACTGGTCAGATAGGTATGTAACAACTACCATCGATACAGACGTTATCAGTCATTTCACACTTAATTACTTGGTATTCAAACTCAATACTAATCAACGCATACTCTTTTCTAAGTTGAGCTGAGGCACAAAGAACCATAGTCTTATTAGGCAGAAACACTTTTTTACTTTTCGAGAACTCACGATGTTCTTCCTTAATTCCGGACTCAGAATAAAATATTTAGGCGTACTTTCTCCGTTTCTGCGGCTGAAAAGATAAACCTGGAGATGACTATCTGACATACACCCAGGATTTATTCATAGACAGTAACGTGGAAACAGTGTTCTCAGCAGTTCATTTGAATAAGTCTGAAAACAAGTTAATACTTCAGCCGATGGTCCATCCATTTGCTGTACATCAGTTGTCTCAGACAAATCTGTTATTTTGAACTATCTTATTGATTATGAATTTGAAAATGCTTTTTCTCGATTCCAGTGTTTGGGTCATTATATGGTATTAAAATTACTTTGATACAAGTTTGAATAACATTACAGGCCATTCATGTGATGATGAATTCTTAAAAAAACCAAAGATGCGCTGCTAGTCACACTGACTTCATGTACTCAACATGACATAATAGTAAAACAATCACACAAATGAGTATTCACTACAAAAAATATAAGTCATTCACCTATCTACAAATTAGTAGAACCACAGTCTCTTTTAAGACAGCTTCAACTCTTTTATTACCTGAAAACATTTAGTTAAATTAACTTGACACGTACTAGGCCTCTATTGGCCCTTCACTTTGACGTCAATTAGGTCGAACGATGTATAAAAGTTCACGTACAATTGAGTTTGTTCACATTTAATTTGATTAAGACCATTTTTAACCTATTTAACGAACAGAGTAATCAGTACAATAACAACTTATTAATACCATTGTATATTTATTATTATTACACTTGTATGAATATGTATGCTTGGGCATTGTTTACTGCCTACGCATATATTCATTCCGTTAGCTTTACAACTAGTTGCTTAATTGATCCGATGATTCATTTATTTCACTGTGTATATATATGTACATTTTAATAATGTTCACTGAATCGCGGAATCGCTTCCCCGCATCTCGCTCATTTGACTTGAACGCTGACTCGCTTGCCTGTTAGCTTTCGGCACTACTCCTTCATAATTGCTTCACGTACCTGTAAATTTAGTTGTCTGTTTGTGGTTCAATAATAAACGTAATCAACACATTGTATTCGCATTTCGATTAAATACACCGATATGGCGTTATCTAGTGACGGTTATAAAAACGAACTGTATACTAAGTTTAGGGGTTGATTGAATACTGACCACAACAGATATCGACGGACTCATTACTTTAGTAACCTGATGACTAACTCCGGTGGGGTCGCGTGAGTGATTTCTGTCCAAATATATATATCGTGAACCGTCGTATATAATTATCGACCTAACTGGCGTTGGTGAATGACAAAATTAAAATAGACAAATACGAGAAAGGATTTTCAATACGTTAATTTTATACGGTCATTTATCCAGGCTGACGATCGAAGGAACGAAGCGAAACGAAGTTAAAAACGATCACATCGTTTTACACGACCTCTTATTGAGATAATAATAATTTAAAACGAAATCATAAAACAAACATGAGAAGGGGTACTAAATAACAAGTGTCTTAGTAACTTTGAACCGATAGGTCGCACTCCTGAAAGCTGTTCTGTCCATTCTGATTCAGGTAACCGGGAAGGACTGTTACTACATAAACCTATTACATCGAAAATATTATCAATTACTTACAAAAACAAAGTGTAATACAGGTTTAAGCAACTGCTGGGACTAAAGATTACATAATGCGACAAAATTTAGATAACAGTAAATTGAGTATCGCGAGTAGATGCCCTCTTAGGAAATAACAGACGGAAATCAACAAACACTGATTCTAGGAAATAAAAGTATATTGGTTGATATAGTTCCCGTAGTGGCAACTGAGTGGCAGAAATTATGGAATTATATATATTGATTATATAGACTACGATTAGCGTCAGATTCCCAAATTGGAAGTTTTCATCTAGCTAAGTGACTTCAGTTAGCTGAAAATGGGATTCCTTACCGTTTCCCCCTGATCTAATTTCTACGTTAGCCAGCATTAAGCGTCAAAATAGTTAGTGGTTAACCATAAATGTTTCATCTAACAGGTCAGTGTTTATAAAGCAACTATGCGGAGTTGGAGTGAACTGCTATTTTTACCAACAATCAAGCATATTTTGATAAAGTGATTTGCATAATTGAGTACCTCACTCCATATAGTTAGAAATGTCATAGGTACAGACAAGTTCTGAAGTAACGTTTCGCGCTTGAGATTAGAAACGCACCTGAAAGCATTTTGACGTCACTCAGTGGGTGAAGCAGTCCTATTGTGTATGCAGCCAAAATAATCAAAATTGTCATTTGCGCAACCAATAAAATAATAACTTTGAATATGGAAACTCCCTGAAAATCAGTTATTGAAAGTGTCGTGTTTATGAAGTCAATAAAAAACCTTCTGACTAACACAAGGGAAATTACAAATCATGAGTCAGACTGTCTTTATGAAGACCTAAAAAAGATAGTTTGGATAACATACCGACAAAAGTAACCGTTTCGTCTTTAGCTGTCTCATAACTACTCATTTAAACGAAATGATTGGAATGTACATGCTGGAAATCAAACGGTACAGAAAACAAATGGATGAAGTTGTCAAAATAATACAAAAAATATTACCTGTGAGATCGGCAACACGATGAATCGGGGGATCTTGTTTGCTATACATTCCGAGTCCCTTAGACTGCGCATTTTCTTCTGCCGCAAGAAGTTCACCGTAAAATACAGAACGAGAATCATTAGCGTTTCGATAACGCACTACAGAGGCCAGACCTTTTGAAACTAGGGTCAATGCAAGGTTGACATCATCAGCTCGCACTGTAGCACAAACACGTTCGTCAACAGTATTAGATGTCTTCGGTTGAATGTAATCAACTTGAACAGTTACCTGTATATTAAAGATACAACAGTTACATACTAATAAAGTATGTTTTCTGTAACCCTAATGAACTACTGTTTTACGGAATATTTTGCAAGGTAAGGGTAATCATTTGATTCATTGAAACTTGACTTACTTGTTTTCCGACGAACTGGCGAAGTACCTCTCTAGCTTCAAACACATAAGGTATGTCGTAAAGCGGACGAATACGACCACGTTGGACAGAAGAATCGTCTTCCTTGCTGCTGGTCTGTGGTCGTGGAGCTCTTATGCTGGATAGAAAGAATTTATGGACACCATCTGAACATTTGATAGAGACGTTATCACCGTTTCCGACTTCACATATCTGAAAAAAACAATACACATAGATCCAAGTCTTTTCAGCTAAGAACAGTGAGTCCTAAGTACTAAAATTAAGTCCAACCTGAAAGAGGCTCCGAAATAACATGTTCACAATACCATAGTTTGAAATGACATGACAGAACTGACATCGGTGCAGTAATTTTTTCACCAGAATACACAGATAGTTAAGGTCAGCACAATTTTCATGGTTAAAAAGAACGATTGACAGCCTAAGTCGTTATTTACTTAAACTCGTAATCTACATCGCCATGTGCAAAAATATCCTAAAACGAAGGGGAGAATATGACATCGCACGAAGATGGCTGAGGTGCCAAGAGGGAACCAAAATAACGTTATCCCTATAGCCAAGGTCCATTTAGCTTCAGATTACTCTCAGTAGATACACACAAATCAAATTATCTGTGTGGCGCATATATATTTGGTGCCCACTTTCACCAATATGTGTCCAAATAAATAAAATAACAAATAAAGTTGGACGAGCACTCACAATTCCACTGAATATTTTCCCTGGAACAACTGTTTGAAGACTGTCTGCATGTACTTCCGTTGTTTGTGTGGGCTGGTAGTTTTCAAACACGCGTAGTCGCTTTTCTTTCGCAAGTCTTTCAGCTATTTTATAGGCTTCGGCAGCACCTGGGACGCTTACTAAGTTTAGATTCCAATCAATACAGTGAGCAAGACCATGACGCAGCAACAACTCAGCTATATTTCCATTTGGGTGGAGGATGCTTCCGACGAAAGTTTGATTAAATACGGATTCCAACAGTATAGTAACGTCTCTCTGTAGCAGTCTGGATTCGGTAAAGAATAGCGCATCGAGACCCCACGCGTCGGGAACCTATAAACCATGAAACAACGATATGCTAACTCACAATTTTTCCATCCTCATAACGTATCGATGGCGATTTAATTCCTGACATTGTGACAGTAACGTATACAAATGTATTTGGCTTTTCATTAAGGGATTCAGGTAGAATGAAGACTTGTACAGAACAACCATCTCGAACATTTTCGACAACAGCTTTAAGTGGTCGGTTTTTGTAGCTCTCAAAGAAGCTGCGAGTATTCTCGACTGACCAAAGGATTTCTCTTGTAACAGGGAGATTGGGAGACCAACGACCCTTACCAAGTGACTTTGCCTGTTCTTGAGCGGTTACTAGTTGCTGGTAAATTTTATTTTTGGCAGCTATTGTCGGATTTAGCTTTCTCACTTCAGCTAAGCCTTGTTCCACTAAGGACAAAGCAACATTTTCTCCACTGATATTTTTCCCTGATGTAAGGATAAATAAACTGGCTTAAAACATACCAACATACACACATCCATATTTGCGACCAGATGGCTGTTCTGTTTCGACAGAATAGCAAACTTCTTTACCAACTAAAAGAGTACGAACAAACTCTCTGGCCTCCCAAGCAAACGGATCTTCTGGTGTTCCAGTGGGAATTCCCGTCGACGGCTTACGAGCAACGCGACCACATGATATATTGGACAAAATAATGGTTCGTTCTGGAGGAGGACCATTTATGGGTCTGTCACGTATTACAATAGTATCTCCCGATAAGACCTATAAAATGGAAATAGCCGTATTTAGAAAACCTCAAATTGCATCTTGTATGTTAGAAACTATTGACCTACTCAAAAAAATGTTATTATAATGAACAAATCAGTGTATGAGCTACGTACTTGTTTCACTATCCCCAAGAAATATGTGGTTGTGCTGACTGGTCGTGCTTCTTCTCTATTGTTCACGAGAGAAGACATAGTTAATACGATACTCTCCTATGATACTAGTAACAAACACGTGGCAACACACAAATTGAATAGTTCACGACCATATGTGACGAGTAAAACAAGCATTCGCGCTAGCTTCAAATGATTATGGACTTAATGAAAGAAAGCTTAAGCTTATCTGGCTTCTAATTTTTGTGTCAATTGATAACCTTTTTCTCTATGTAGTGACCCATATATAGTTCAAATGGTTCAAAAAGGTTGTGGACAGAATAAAAGAAGCTTTCGCCTAACGGGCTTCTGTGTCTAGCAGCAGTGAATCACCAATATCTCCATGCAGGTGCCGCAGTATATGAACGACAAAAGAGGTAAAATAAAATGGTAAATCATAGTAACATACTATCCTTGGTCCTTAAGAATAGGTCGAATTTCCTTTTAAAGGACTCCTGCGAAGTCGCTTGGATTAGCTCAGCCGGCAGCGAATTCCAGCATTTCACAACTCTTGAGGAGTAGAAGTTGTGTCTACAGTTCGTTCTTCTGCGTCGTGCCTTCAGTTTCTGAGTATTACCTTTGAGCTTGTGAAGAAGCTGAGCATAAGTGGGTATTTTGTAGGACACTTAGAAGTATTTAGGATATTAAATGGCATTGAATGCTCGCTATCGAGTCCTCAAGATTTTAATGGGTAATGATCCGATGACTCAAGCGACTATTCGCTAGACTTGAATTTGATTTTACTCTAACTGCTTTCGCAGCTCGACACTATATAGTGTCCGGAGTATTCTTATCCCTTTAGTGGAGGAAGAAACGTTATTTCAATACCTTAAATTTTGGTGAATAGAAGTATTAAAAACTGGGTAAAAAGTGCTGATCTAAACTTGCAAGACACATACCAAGGATACCAGATCACGGTATGCTCTGAAGATATTTTTGTCCAAGCCTGCACAGTGATGTAGATCATAGCATGCTAATACTTCTGTATCTATTTCAACGCGGGATACAAGGCACGATTACTCCTAGAACGAATAATTGAATAATATTGTCGAACCTTTTTATAATCAAGGAAGTTGGTGAGTACTTCCATTCATGTGGTCAACAACAAACAGAAGTGTCGCAGTTTGGTCTACAGCGCACTGTCCTTACGGAAGCCTCCTTATCGATTTCGGAGTTGAAGGTCTACCACAACTTTCATGCGGCTCACCCATACTATGACGCAAGTTAATTAGCATGTGGCGGTAAGTCCCTGAAATAAATAGTTCTGTAATTTTTCGACACTGATGATGACCTCATTAATTGCACTGGACACATCTACCTGAAGGTACTTGGTCACTAACCCGCGTCAGATCACGAGTGGGTACTCTATGCCATGCAACTCTTGCAACTGTTAGCCAGCTTAGATTAAAAGCTTCCAGATATATAGATAATCCTTCAAGTATATCTTCGAACCCCTTCATTTCTGACTTCTGGTTTGACTGGGGTGGAATAGTTTAATCATAAAGCTGTTACGTGTAAAAGCGTTGTCAAAATCCAAATAGCTGTGGAAGCTTTAGTGATAAGGCCGACGTGATCTGGCAAACCAAACAGAAAACTGTGAGTCTGTTCCTTGTTAAAACACTACACAAAATTTCTTCAAATTTTATTTTTACCCATTAAGTTAATGTATTCATAGTTATTTGCAGTTTTTCCCGCGCTTTGTTACATAATATCTTCATCATTATGCAACAGAAACTCGAATTCCTTGAAAACAAACATCTTTCACCTCTCACCATTCATCTAGTGCTGTTCTTGCCCGATAATACAGAAGCCTCTTTCTGTTACGCAGAAGCTGACATCCATGAGCACGGTGTGACTGACCCATGTGCACAACTTCTCACAGTGTTGAAAGTAAGACCACGCAATTTCAACGGGTACGTCACACCTAGTATGCTTACTTGTGATGTTTTAAAACCTTAATAGAAGTTTAAAAAGGGATATCCTTCAATGTGGAGACCTGTAGAATTATGGCATACTTTATTGTTAGTACTGCTACAACAATAAACCTAATCTTAAAATAGCAGATTTGTCGTGATGGAACTGCCTAATCTACAAGATCTTATGTGGAAGTCACATTGCTGTCTTCACTGACTCATCGTATCATAACAGTCACCAATATATGGCGGAGAACACATTTAGGCTGGAGACAGAACAACTTATTTATTATGAATAAAAACAAGTCATACAGAATGACCACGCCTGCAAGGCTGAGCGATGCCAACGATTGAATTGCGTTTCGGAAGAATGTTCCCATTGTAACGGAGAGGGAACGATCAAAATCCCTCCGCAGCTTTGTTGTTGAACAGTACTGTCATTTATTTGTTTCTTCCTGTCGTGTATTTTATTCTTTGTTCAGACCTCGTTTAACCAAACCTTTTGTACTTCAGTCTTCCTCGTCTGAACTTTTGTAATGTGATTTTGATTAAAGACTTATCTTTTGTCACCCAACTTTCTATTGTATGTTGCTGGACTATTTACAGTAAAGTCGTGTTTGACTAAGCTCAAGATTACGGTGTGGTCCAGATTGTGGCTGTGTTACGAGGTTAAAATCACCATATATGGTGATGTTAATTGATTCTGTTTTTCTTTCTATTGTAGGGCGACCAAGAATAAATGCCTTGGAAGAAGAAGAACAAGCTCTGCATGCACTGAACCTACAGGATGACTCATAAGACTGTTTTATAAACAAGCTTTCTTTCCTGTATATAGCCCGTGAATTTTAATTTTCCATGTTCTCTCTCTTGGTGTGAAGCGCTTGGTTAAAATTGTGTGTGTTGTAGTTTCAGGTCCTCTTCGCCTTTCACTGACTGCTGATTACACGTGTTACAGCTATTAACACTTTGACTGTCTGCTTGGGAGGATTGCCAGAATCCCTGCAGTTAGATATTTGATTACATCTTGTTGGGAATATTTTTATTGATTCTCAGGTATCGAGCCCTTTGGTATTAACTGTCTCTTTCACTGTTTATCAAGCTACTTTGCGTTAGAGATACTTCTGACTGTATAGCATAGGCTGTACCGTTCGAGGTATTTTGTATTTTTGTTATAATTTATTCTACTTCCTAAATTAGAACCGTTTATATTGAGCACAGAGTTTGTATTTTGACATAATTTAATACGAGAATCTCAAAAACACTTGGTGCGCTATACAGAAGAACGTAGTCTGGCCTATTTCAATACATTTTGGATCGTCGGTCCTGCGTTCAAACCGAATACTGGCAGTTCGGTCGTTACACTCATGTTCGTCATTATTGACCTTCCCTTAGTGTTACACGATGAAAGCCTGTTTTCCTAGTTATCTCATGTATAGCTTTGGGGACTGTGGTTAGAGCCCAATACCACTACACTACTCTCCGACCAGAATCAACGTGGCGTTGGTTCGATACCAAATAAAGTATGATTGTCGCAGGCCGGAGGTTACCAGGAATAATAAGAATCTACCGGGTATTGATAAGCTCAAAGATAAATCAGAAAAGAAGTGGTTTAATTATTGACGTGCGCGAAATGTAAATTTAGGTCAAAATTATTTGAGCCGGACAAAGTGGGATTATAATAATTAAGAATGGTTCCGCGTAGGTATATTTTAATAAGTCTCCTTAAGATGCGTAGTATTAGCCTTTGGCTAATAGCTTGTAGGTAGTTCACGTATTTTGTGTTTAGAAATATAAGAACAACTGTTAATACTGGTATTATTTTTGGCTTAAATCATAAAGTCAGCTAACGATCATGCCAGTAAACTGTCCGTATGAGTTGATTTCCAATTGCTTCTGTATTAGTAGGCTAACTGAAGGAACAAAAGCATAGCCATGGAAAAAAATTCTAACCAGTGTTCCAGACAATTTGTCATGTTTTATACGGTTTACTTAGTTGCGAGATTTCATCGACCTCATAAAATTCAGTAATACTACTAATACATATGAATAGTTATCGAAAGTTCTTCCACGTGAAAATAATGACAGTTGTGTGCATTTTGAACAGATAGCTAATAGAAACTCGATAAACATGGGTGCATTAGTGAGAGACATGCTCTAGACTAAATTTCATTTATATTCATATCTACCTGCCGGTGGTGCATACAAGTTAGTTGCAAGTATTGAGTTTCGCATAAGTTAGAAAACGAATTGTTACTAATATAGTGATTAGGAAATGTTGAGATCAGCCAAGCCTATGTGCTGCAAATCTAGACACTATGGTGTTGTACAATGCTTCCGGATAAATAAATCCCTACAAGATGATAATAACTGAGTGATGCTCATGTGAGTACGAGAGAGAACACAAGTTGCAACCAATGAGAATACATTCCTAAATCATGTCCATGGTGACGGCTTGAACCTTTGTCAATGTTGGGGTAAATTCGACAGTGATGTTTTCAGTTTGTAGGAGATCCACTCGACTGTTTATACTAACGATTTGAATACATGATTGTTGCTAAACCTCCAATCAGACAGACCGATGGACGTTTGACAAGGACCTGTTTAAACAGCTCTTTCTGTCTTAGCTTCCCTAACAGGCGCATGTACTCCTCATCTCATTTCAAAATAACGCTGTAAGTTAGCTGGCTGCATCTACCGACCGGATACCGGAGATCAAAATAACCCTCGACGCTGAGGTTCATCATGTCAAAGGAAAAACCATGTTTGCTATGTTTCAAGCGAATACGAGTTCATCTAGTCTGTGAACGCAACAAAACTCTGTGACCAAAAACTAATAAGCTAGCTATTCTGATGCGTCCCAACACCGCTAACAAGAGAGAGAAGTCCAAGATTAAAACGGGGAAATATATTCTGCAAGCAACCAGAAGCACAAGCTGTTGGGATATTCAGGAAAATATCCCAAGAATTATCCTGTTAAGCTTAATGTTATCCTTGGACATGAAATGGTATCATCTTATTGGTGAATATTTGTTTAACGTGTCATTTTCCTACTGGCCATTATTGTACAATGTTATTTTCTATTTTATGGGACGTTGTGGTCTGCTTGACTGGTATATAAACAAAGTATGTTTGAAATACAATGATTCATATCTCCGAGGCTATGACTTGTGTTCTGGACTCAACTGGCTGGGTTAGATAGGGGAGCG